ATTACGTATTTAAGTTTTTTCTGTTTTTTTTCTTAATGGTGCAAATAGACGCCACAACACATAGTTAGTCTCCTTACTGTAGTAAACTGCTTATACTGTTCCTGTTCCTGTGATGACTAGTCTTACTGTTAGGAACTGTGTAGGAACTAGCTAGCTGGTTGCCTGCCTTTCTTCGTTCCGGACAAGCTGCCCCGGGTAACACAGCAAATGAGACTAAGTTGGCCTGTGTTAGAGGTAAAGAATAGACACAGTGCATATATGCTAAATAATTTGTGTAACCTTAGGCTTTTGCCAAGTATCTTAAATGTTTAGTGTAAATTCAGGCGGGAAAATTGTTTGTTGCTGCTTGACTAATGGATGCACTCTTGTTTCCAATGTTATGCTGTTGCAGCTAGTTAGTTAGCATCGCATGAAATAACTCATGCACAAGTAACGGAAATTTTAGAAATTCACGGTAAATAACGTAAATAAGTTATGTTAGTAGTACTACTATAAAGTCCAAAAATTTCTGCTTTACATATCCAAAATTCCGCTTTTCTCCGCTTTGTAAATTTGGCAATTTTCCAACTTTCAAAAAAAACTTAAAGCATACTATTAACTATTTACTTGCCTCATTGTAGGTGCCTCTCGATGTCCCCATTGAATACTGTGTCTATTTTTAGAGCGGGCCGTGTAGAGGCTTGTGAGACAACAAGTTTCTGTTTCGGTTTCTGTTGTAGTACGTTGCAGTATCCAAAATTGGCCTCGAGGCAACGGAATCGTAAGAGGGCTAATTATTTTTGAATTGATGTTGGCTGAGCTTAGATGTAAATGTTATTAATTCAAGTGTGAAAATTGACTGCATTGCAGTAGCGCGAATTATTCGTCCATGGAAATTTCCGATCAGGTTATGCAATCGGTTTGTTATGATGCAGATGGGAGATCAATCAGAGGCCTACTACATGCATTATTATGGTGAAATATTAATTTCGTGAGTTTATTATTATTTATTAAGATAAATTTAAAGCAGATTTTCTTCTTCTTATTATTTTTTTTCAGTTGTTATTTAATTAAATTGTTTTTTTGTCATTTTTGGAGGTTTTTTTTTCTTTTTTTTCAAAACTGCGTTTTTTACGATTCACGCAAATTCCGCGATTTTCACGGATATTCCGCCTCGCGGAGGACTTTGAACTTTATACTACTACTAGTATCTATACAACTTCCAGTCAGAGAAGAGCACACTGTAGTGTTAAATCGGAGCGCAGCAAAAACACGTCCTCTTCCATCGACACACCCTGTACAACTCAATCGCTGTGTGAAGATCGAAGCTTGTTGGCGGTAACTGCATGCGCGTACTAGTATGTAATTGTATTATGTGTAATTATAGCCTTTCACAGCTGTTTGATGATTTGGAACTTTGTTTTTTGTTTGTTTTTGGAGTTTTTGTGATGGAGAACCTTTTTTATGTAAATAATGAATTTTTTTTACATAATCAACTTTTTCGGCATGAGGTTTTGGAGCATGCGAGCGGTGGACGCAAATCTAAAACTTTCATTCTCATGGCCTTACGTTGATTTTTCACATGCATTATCAATATCAATATGACAATCTTTCTTGAATATCTATAAGAATGATATTACTCTCACCTGTAGTTCTTCTATCTTTGTCACATAATACTGTTGCATGCCCTCACCACGCTGGTTTTGTGGTGGAGACTGATCGACATCCATCTGCAAATTTAAAAAATCAAATCATGAGAATCTGTGACTCACACTCACAGTTACAGCACTTAAAATCATTATCTTTGAAATAAGTTCAAATAAACTTCTACAAAGTCACTCAACTCATCACTAGACACTACCAGTTCATTTGCAAAGGCAGGGGCCAGGCAAACGCTTATTCAACAACGTAGTCGTAGACTCGCAGTGACGCTGAGAGGGTCTATGTCCCCCAGGGTACTGCCGGAACGTACCCTGGTGGCTGGTACTATCTAATATGCCGGACCATACCTCGCCTACTCCACTAACGAGTCTAGGGAGTCGCCTACGCCTACTCCCTAACCAGTGTTTGCCACTGAGCAGAAAAAGCTGTAGGCCTGCAGGGCCTATAGCTACTCAAAGCTAAAGGCCCGCCAGCAAAGCTGTAGGCCCGCCAATTTGGAGCAAATTACAGTAATAAAACAGCATATCATGTTCTTCCTTGTGTTTATTAGTTATTATCAATGTCCATTTCAAAATCATCTGCTGATTCATCATCACTGCTCATGTCATCTGATGATCTGATTGACCTCCTATTTTTCTCATAATCCCTCTGTTTTTCCTTCCTCTTGTCGAATGACTGTTTATGCTTCTGTAGCGACGTTTCGCTACAGCTCATTAATTAGGCACATTGCCGAGCGGAAAGAGAGCAGGCAGTGTCATTGTATTACCTTGTAATGTCGAACAATACAGTCGCTTGTGGTACGTTACCTCTCTAGTTGGTGTTTACTCTATGCCTAGCGCATCCTGTACTCTTATCTAACCTACCTCACCTA